GTGTCACAGAGGATGGTTCCTTCCGTGTTTTTGAGAAGGATAAGTTGCACATGCAGCGAAGTGAATTTCAGCGTGTGTTGTATGTTTTCTTCTTGAGTCTGAGCCGATGCCTTGGCGGCAAGGTAACGGTAGCCGAAAACTGAAGAGTGAGGTTGACGCGTGAGAGAGCGCCGGCGATGGGATTGTCGACACCTGAGACATGACGTATATCAGCAGTGAACTGCGTGACAAAGTCTAGGTGTCCTGTTTCCCGTGGTGAATATTTGTCGCAAGCAGAGCCGAAGGCGAAGATGATGGGATTGTGGTCAGTGTAGACAGAGAAAGCGCAACCTTCGAGTATGTGCGGGAAGTGACGAATGGTTAAGTAAATGGCGAACAGTTCTCTGCCAAACGTGCTGTAGCGGGATTCCGCTGGCTGCAGGCGTTTGGAGAAGAACCCAAAGAATTTTCATTGCCCACCAACGTGTCGTTGGAGGACGGCTCCTACCGCGTCGTCTGAGGCATCAGTCTTGAGAGAAAGGGGTGCACTCGATTTGGAATGAGCGAGGAGGGCTATGTTGGAGATAGCATCCTTGTGCTCGGTGAAGGCTGTCTGTGCTGTGTCAGTGAAAGCGGACTTACGTTCATTCCCTCTGAGTAGGCCGGTCAGCGGTTGAATTAACTGAGCGCCGCGCGGAATGAAGTGTCGATAGTAGTTGACCAAACCTTAAAATCGACGCCGGTGCTTGTATGACGTCGGAGCTGGGAAGTCCTTGATTGGCTGGATCTTATCAGGAAGGACTTCGATACCAGACGATGAGACGAGGTGGCCTAGGAATTCTACCGTTAATTTCTCGAGTTCGCATTTAGTGGGACTGACTGCGAAGCCGTGTTGGGTCAAGCGTTGGAAGAGAGTTCGAAGGTGGTCGAGCTGCTCTTGTTCCGATGAACTGACTACTAAAATATCATCGAGGTAGGGATAGGCGAAGTCTAGGCCATGGGTGACATCGTGGATGAAGTGTTGGAAGGGTTGTGCGGCGTTGTACAGTCCAAATGGCATCCTTAAAAATCCAAACAAGCGGATAGGAGTCAGAACGGCTGTTATAGGAATGTCATTTTCTTCCACAGGTATCTTGTTGAAGGTCGTCTTACCCGTGATGCATGCGGTAAGGTCCTCCATGTGGGTGATGGGATACCTATCTGGGATGGTTAGCCGACTGAGTGCGCGGTAAGCACCGCAAGGGCACCAGTCACCAGATTTCTTGGGAACCATCTGCACGGGAGAGGACCAAGGCCTGTCGAAATGGTGGATTATTCCAAGTTCGAGCATGTGTTCAAACTCCGCCCTAGCTACCTTTAGTTTCTCAGTCGTTAGTCGGCGTGGACGGCATGACGCGGGTGGGCCATTTGTCCGTATGTAGTGTGTGACTTGGGATACCACGGGCAAAGGTGTGTTCATTGGCTGAACGAGCTCAGAATCCGGGTAAAAGAGGTTGGAGTAGTCTGAAGAGGTCTGTGGAAAGGCATGCACCGGAGTGCTGGATGCGATATCGGCGGTGATGCCCCGTACGTTGCAGTGACGACTATCATCTGGCGTTTCACATCGCCCAAGAGGTCGAAATGCCTGAGAAAGTCAATGCCGATGTTAGTAAAGTGGACTGCTGCAACGGTGAATACCCAGCGGAACATGCGCCGAAGATCTAGGTCCAGGCTAAACGACCGATAACCGTAGGTGGCTATTGGCGTACCATTGGCGGCACAGATTTGTCGGCAAAGAAACATCTGGCTTATCTGGCATAGGGAGAATGACGCTGACTTCCCCCGGGTATCAACTGGGTCTCGGAATCATAAACCCTAAGGTAGATAATACGACTTTGGGCTTTGCCGACGTCGTTTGTGGCCATAACAGGCCAGCGTGGCGGATCATCTGTAGCGGTATAGATACATGGCTGTACGCACTAACGTGCTTTATTACCAAAACGCGAGTGGCAAAAGCAGTAACCTGGGCATCAGGTTTTGTGCGACTAAGCGATAATCCAGAGCGACTGCGGTGCTTAGGGTTTAAAGTGAGCTCCTCGATCTGGCGCTGAAGCGATGCTATCTGCGAGGATACCGCGTCTATTGTCGACTGCTCGTTAGCGCTGGGAGTAGGTGTGGTTGCGCCAGCCCAAAGTTGCTTAGTTGCTTGTGTTTCAGTATCTGGCTGGTGCTGCTCGATAACGCGGTCTGCTAGATGTGCAATTGCTGTGATTGGTGGGGCACTTGCTACTGCAAGGATGGCATGAGTGCTTACAGAAAGGGGTTGCATCCACAGCTCGCGGAGAATCCCTACATCCATGTTGGATGTGCCGATGAACAATTGCATTTCGCTCAACAAGGCTGAGGGCATCTTATCCCTTATTTGAAGATCACTAAACAGTTGCTGCAATCGGACCTTGTCAGAAGGCGTAATTCGCTGAATAATAGCCTGTTTAAGAGTCTCGTATTTCATTACTAGAGGGGGTCAAAATATGATGTCTCACACCTTCAAGGATATACTCTGAGGAAGGCGAGATATCAGCTGATTATACATGACGAAATGGAAAGTAATCCTGCGAATGTAAAAATTGGATTCTAGATGCAAAATCATAACGAAGGATCATTCTTCCAGAAAGGTGGAGGGGCTAACGCTACTGTATTGACCATGACAGTCTCAGCGGCGCTAACCGCGTATGGAGATGGCTTATCCTCTATATAATCCATTGCAAAAAGCGAATAGAAATGTGGTAGGTGAGAAAATAAGATGATCACAAATGAGGAATCACAAAGTCACTGGAACGCGCTCAACAGAATGCCAATTCGAAATGGCGGACGGCGTGTTCTGGACCGGGGTCACCAATTGTTGGGTGGCGCCTGAGATACTAGTCGGTAATCAATGACACGGTAATCAATGATAAAGAGCCGTGTCAAATACCGGACAGTATCGAATTTGGAGACGACTGAACCCAACGTGTATTGTGTGCGAAGCGAATCAACTAGAGTGAGAAACGGTGCAGCAAGATACTCACCTAAACAATTTTTGTCGACGGAAGTGCCGTCAGTAAAAGAAGTGGACGTTTTGAAGGCCAAAACAACTCTAAAATCCCACGTTGCAAAATACTAAAACTGGGTGTTTTCCGGTACACTACAGATATGCCCCGTCTCGCTTCGATTTAATCTTTGCTGAATCGACAGATTTTGTTAAATGCCATACTTGCGAACAACCTCTAAAGAGTTGTGATCCAGTTTGTTAGGTATCATAATAGGCTTACCTTCAAAACCATGTAGAAAATATCACTGGAATTCGACGTATTTGGCGAGTGGATTCCTCGGCAATTAGACATGTTCACAGTCTTTCCTTGCATTAGTTAAGCGGATGCTGATGTCCAGACCTTTTCGTCCTATTTTAAGTCCTACCTTTTTGAAGTGTGAGTTTCTCATATCCCGATTTCTGCGAGTAAAAATGGAACGTTGAAAGGATCATAGTTCGACTGAGTTGAGTGCAAACTTATGAACCGACAGATCAAGTGCTATCGGACTTATCCGTCAGCTCCTTCGGTTGGTAGCTTTCGACGCTATCGAGATTCCTGAAAGGTCGGCAAACAACACCTACAGCCAGTCCAATTTAGCTACGAGATAACGTTTGTCGATTCGACTCCAGCCAACCCAAAGCGATTTTTCGGTTAGATTAAGAGGCGAATAAGTTAATCTTTTTCTATCTGTGTTGTTTAGTTTTGAAGACATTGTTCTTCATATTGATCGGGCAAGCCAGTTACATAACAAATAATTGTATGGTGGCATGAATAAGGGAATCATTATCACCATAAATTTATTTTGTGACGACAGTTCCTGCAGACTACTGACAAATAATTCTATTTCATATACTCAAATACTTAGGCTGCTACATCAGATAAACCACTGCAATATCGCTAGGTAAATGCTGTACCAATGCTAAACCGACTAGTACGAGAAATCCGTTTTCAATTGCTCTTTACCTTCTGATTCGAAGGTGCTGATCGTCTACTCCATATCCCAGAAGTGTGATAAGTGCTAACCTCAGAACTTTAGACCGATCAGTTTGACGAGTGTTCTGGGCAAATTTTTGGAGAAGCTATTAATCCATATCGGTTTAAACCTACTTGATAGCTTGGTTTGTTCAGCCCATCTCAACACAGCCTTTATAAATGCTACTGATTTCCGTAACTTGTATGCTTGAGATTGTTGGGCTAAAACGGTAAGTTAAACGGGTTGCGTGTTGTTCACCCAACTTGCCACAGAATTTGACACTCTGAACATGATTCCTCAGGGCCTGTACTGTTCCGGATAATGGAATTTTCAGAGGAAAGGTGGATGTGTTTTCGAGTGGATTCGAGTTAATCTTTCCGGCAGTCTGTTCTCAACGGAGTAACACAGGGGCCCTTCTTGGGTCCTTTGTTTTTCACTTGTGCATAAACGGCTTCACGCAGCGACACCATGTGTTCGGCGCTGACCGGTCGGTGTGTTATATTGGTGACTCGGGTGCCGAACAGGTTTTGCAGCATATAGGTAACAGCCTCCTTGATTGGTCCACTTCCTGGTAAATGCCACTAAAAGATTTGCAGTACTTGACTTCACTTATTGGGACCATCTACGTTTCACTTTTAGGCGGAAACCAACTATCGCATTTGTCATGGGAAATTGACTTTGGAGTCACTCAGTCAATGAAATTCAAGTCAAGTCAAAAATGGGCGAATGACAGCTACAAAGGACGGGGTATTTGGGTTGATTCGCTGGTTATTCAGAATCCTGACAGATTTGGCTGAATGTAAAATGGTTCTGACTTGATCACTCCATCTACTCTTTGGAGCTTGCTGTCTTAATTCAAATGTGAAAACTTTTCTTGATGACATTGCTGTTAAGCATATGTATAGAATCTAATTACTCTCCCTTAACTACAGTTCGAAAGTTCACTGCCCTAGTGACCACTTGCTTCCTCAGCATGTTTAATACTCTTACCATTTCAGAGCATATGGACGCTTACCTGTGTCTGCACCGTCATACTGGATGTGAAATTCGGTCTTCTTTTCGGCGTGGCTTTCTCTGCATTGACTATAGTCCTGCGAACTCAGTCTCCGTCAGCTCGATTAATTCGGAAGGCGGTCGGAACAGAATTCTATTGCGAGTTCGACGCAGATTCTGACGTAAGCGATACTCCACCACATGCGCCATCTAGCCCATTCAAAAAGCTATCGGTTTTTGGTAAAATCAAATGCGCCAGTTGACTGGATACCACTGTCTCAACTGGCACATAGTTACAGACAGCGATAAGACTCAGGTAGACCATAGTTCTGGACTTGAAGGCTACCAACTTCAGTGACATTCACTAAGCATGTCTGTATCCAATAGAATCAGACGTTGTCCAGAAAAGTTAAACAATTCATACGTTGTTATGCATAACAAAATAACCGCCAGAATATAAACAAGTTAAAAGCACAGACAGCTGTGGAAACATCACTCAAGACATCTTGATCAAACGTCCGGCCGATCTTAATTGTCCCGCAGTTGGTTACCATAAACATCTTCCAGTGGAACGCTCATTTTGGGGCAACAGCTGTTCTCAAATTATGCTTGAATATTTATTAGCACACCTATTTTTACAAATCCAGTGCCGGATCCATAGGGGTTGCAACATCCAACCACGTGAAGTACGAGCAAGACCATTATTACCATGTCACACTCTGCTTGACCGACGCATCATTTTGCGCACTCCGATTTTTAATTTACCCGGTAACATCAACTTACATGTTGCAGGATTTAAACTTCTTGTTCTCGGTTTAACAGGCTCTGTCTACTGAGACGTACTCGCCATAATAACCAACACAGGTTACTTCCACTGGAATTTATTGGTTTGGACACATTTTCACTGTTGCTCACGCGCACGCTTTTGTACTATTACAAACACCCATAAATTCAGCCTCCTTTTCTAGGAATCTCTTAGCTTTCCGACAACTTCACACCTGTCCCTTTCCATCATTGTGTGTAGCAACTAAGGTCCAAACTACGCATACCTTGTGAGCCATTCGCAGTCAGGCTGCCAACAAATATCGCTGTCCACTATTCCGTCAGCGTCAGCAATCAACCTGCCCCGCACGATCACGGCTTGGTCTGCAATAGGTGCCTTAATGGCGATGGTATGATGTACAGACGCAGCACGCTAGGCGTAGCGCATCAATCCCCTGATTTCGACTTCACCAACTGCCGTCCGGTTTTACTACACGGTCCGTCGCCCACAACCGGAAACCAAGCAGTGGCAGTTCGACCACTAATACCCACAATAAATGTGAATGAGTAGGCACAGCGGAAAAGTGCAAACATGCAGTAAGAGTAGGGGTGGTGTGTTTGCAATGTACCAGCCATTAACCTAACTTCACTAGTGTCTTTAAACGAAATACAGCGCTATAGAAATATAACGGACCCGTGAATATCGGAAAACACTATCCAATCCACGGACATCAATCGATTATTCTTATATTACTGACGATTACAAACTTACAGAAACTCTGCGGCACATTTACAAACACAAGCCACACAGCTACATTTATACACCATTGGTTGGTGGTATTCGGTTTCGGATTTGTCTGTCACTGTGGCTAGCCACAGGACGCCTGCGGCTACAGAGGGACCATGGGTGGCTTGCGCTGCACCATCCACAGCTCCAACCACACACCCCCATATCCCGTGTAAACCCGAAGGAATAAGACGGGGAGGCATGTGGATGGAAACCAGATTTCATCAACGGAGCCGGCCCACACTCCTTCACAGGCAAACACAAGCACGGTGTATTTGGGGAATCAAGCGTACACAAGGCGGTGGCTGGACCGTAGTCCGCTCCACACTGAGTGCATAGAACCACTCTTCGAGCCTAGCACGGCCACAAGGACCGTGCACTCCGTCCCCTCCAGCAACGACCAACTGTCTCCTTGTGCTAGTATGGACGAGGTAGTGGGTACTAGACAGGTAGGCACCTTGTCAACATGCGCATCAAGTGCGGCCACACCAGGGATATCAAGCAACAGCCAATCAACTGGAACGACAAGATGAACTAAAACAAATCCAATAATGCATACAGATACGGAGGCATAACTCTTCGCTAAATTACCATATGAAGTAAGTTGGTTAGCAACGAATCCGCGATAAGGAAAAATGTCCACAAGTTAGTTAAAAATGCTACAAAACTCAACAAAGTTACCGAAGATAAGCGCAATTAGCGTAAGCAACGTGGCCAGTTAATAGAACATTATTCAGGTAGGCAGAACAAACCAAATAAAGCGGAATGAAATTTATCCAGCCTAAAAGGACCTAGTTTAAGTGTAAGTTGGTTTATTCCAACTGCGGTGAAGAAGCATCAAGAACGCAACATCAGCCTCAGCATACACACCTTCATTGTCATGCCAAACATGTATTTTGGTACATTTTTGATTAAACTATGTTAGCTTAATATGATCATGCTTGTAATGGTGTGCCTCGCATTGTCGAGAATAAAAGTTTATTTTTGAATGTTTGTGAGTAGGGTAAAGATTGTAGAAAGTAGAAGTCACGATTAAAATTCACGCACATTATTGTGCGCGAATTTTAATCGTGACTTCTACTTTCTACAATCTTTATCCTACTCACAAACATCCAAATTTAATCTACTATCGCCCATTGGACATTCGAAGGACACATACTTCAGCCCATTGGGAAGAGACGGGTGAGTGAGGCAATCTGCAACACCAGGAGAGGTACTGTGAGCCCATTGGCAATACGTCGCGCACCAAGCAGAAGTCATGTGTTAAAATTTGCGCACCTAATCGTCAGCCCTCGGTAGTTCAGTGGTAGAGCAGCGGACCGGAAATTCGTGGACCGGGGTTCGATTCCCCGTCGAGGCACATTATTGTGCGTGGATTTTAATCCTGACTTCTACTTTCTACAAAAGTTTATTTATTTATGCACTTTGGTTCTGTCATAAGTGTTCGACGCTTCCCCTTGTAAATTGTGTACAGAGGTAGCAGAAAATACAACCTCCTAATCGCTGAAACTAAACGTCGTTTAAACGTAAAAGGTACTCTGGCAAAGAAGTTTGAACCTTGTCCACCCCCCCAAATCATCACGTCGAGACGAAGGAAAATAGCCACGTGATCCCACGTTATCAGAGTAACGGAAACCTTAGGAACCCGGAATCGGCTCGTCAACGCGAATGATTGACGCATGCTGGGCTCGCTCGCTCCCACCCTCCTGTCCAACATATCTACTAACACAACCGTGGCAACAACTACACTTCCGGATGAACGACGGAAACCGAACCTCTTTGAAGACTGATCCACTGTTGCGACAGTTACGGCTCTATGTGTAAACATTGCATCTCCCTTAGTTTCGACCGCTACAGCCACAACATTCGTCAACGCAAGGTGCAAGCTGCACAGACTCCTTCAAATCCACAAATCACCGCATTTTCCACACCACCGAAGATCAAGAGAATCTATGCTCCCCTAGTCCTCCTACGCACAAACCTTACTGAGTCCAAATCAATGTCTCTAAAATGTAAGTAGCAAGTAGCATCTGAATTAGTAGATGTTCGTTTGTGAGCGGATTTGTGTTCTGTTGAGGCCGACTAATTCATTGCGCGTCACCAGACATCCAAATTTGATGTCCTACCTAGAGTCCCGACTTATACCGGTGACACTGGGATCCACAAATGATGATAGGTCAGTGCTATTGTCAGCATCCAGTTTCTGGAGGGAAGACGATGGGATAAGCATTTTTCAAGACTTTCCACGGAGCGAACACCATCAGGACAAAAACAATGTAAAAGAACACAACACGTGGAGAAGTAGAATAATCATTTTTGTTCACGGCGTGCTTGAGCTATCAAAAGGTGGTGAAGAGGTAGCCCACGCAGATGATCTAGAAGAATGGAGGTCCATTCTTGAAGCCCTCTGTGTTGCTGAAGTCATACTACAATCAATTTCAAAGCTACACATGTCTCCCCACAATAAGGACTGTAGCTTCGTAGTACTAAAACTTGTAGTTCACTCCCAACAGCTGGCGGTAAATTTAATGCCTAGCCGGCATAGATTGCCCAACACACTACATTCGGAAATAGGATAAACACAGGAATTAAAAGCAACGGCTATCCGACATCATCGAGTTACCAGATTCATGCAAAACTCCGTGTAAGCAAAATGCTGAGTCAGAAAACCACGTACTCAGACTGATGGCCATTAAGAAAGGTTGCAACCATACCGAGACTTGGCGTTGCTCTGTTCACTGACAGAGTACACGAGAAAGAAATAGGTGCTGGCCTTTCATCGGTCGGCGTACCTACACGGCAATCATGCCCTTCTTGTCAACCGCTTTTGTCGTGTTGTACTTACACAGATTCCACTTAACTTTCCGAACCGCTACTGAGTCAGAGGTCAAAAGCCTGTATTTATCGCTATAGAGGGATTTGGTTGCGCAACGACATTACTGACCTCGAAGACATGCTACCAGGCTTCCCGCTCTTCGGCATGACCGACACAGTACTCTGGACTTACGCAGTGACCTCAATAGTTAGCTCACCAAGTATTCGGTAAATACTCTACAGGATTCCTAGTGGTGCGGTATGCATTTAACAGGCGACGATACCTGCTTGTTAACGTCGTTTACCGCTGTCCGTCTTCCTCGCTAGAGTTGGACTTATGTATGGCGTCCGCAATGAGGCAGGTGAACAACAAGAAGTGTAGCCGCATTTTTATCACTGTTGATTTCAACATTCACGCTGTGGATTCCAACGTCACTCTTGGCGGATAGCCCAAAACAGATGCGCTAGAGTTTGCCTCCAGTTTTCACCGGATTCCGAGAGACATCTAGGCCGTCTACACTAGACCGGATATTTACTAACGACGTACTCATGATCGAGAGGGAAATCCTCGACACGCCTGTAGTCCACAGTGGTCATGCAACTGCGCTTCATGGGCACTTGTTACGCAGGATACTCCACACAGAATACCCAAGTGACGTGAAATGTATTACACTGCGACAGATTAGTTAAGCTAGTTGAGTTGAATGACTGGAATTTATTATCCAAAGTTACACCGGTTATTACCTGGGGAAGTTTGGTCAGCAGGTTTAACAACTTGTTTACTAACTAAGGCTATCGGTTGGAGCGACGGGGTCCCATATTTACGGAGTAGGACACGGAAATGCATGACCACTAGAAACGCAGCATGGCACTGACACGAGACCGACCTAAGCTAGAACAACTGGAACATCGACGTCATACACCGTGCCCATCATATTCAACTAGTGCGCGTGGACACAATAGCCTAGCAACAGGCTTTAACCTCATGATTTGCTTCGAATCATAAACTGATGTACACGCATGTGATGTCTTCACAAGGGGAAAATGAGATTTTCATCACTTATAAGAGCGCATGGACCAAAGCGGATTGGTAAAAAGCAACAAACGCCATGCACCAACAGTACACTCCAACTTTTCAGTGTGCACCGTGATTTCATGACTTATTGGAGCATATTATGGAAACGCCGGCACGTTCTCACATCCACTTCACAGCAGACACTTTAAGGAGAAATCTTAAATATGCACCCACGCAGCTCTCCCAGTTGGCCATATTCCCCTGAACGCTGTTGCCGCAGGAAATAACCATTGGCTGGAACATTTGGTACGATGCTTACAGCATCTACTCCAATCTACTCCCATTTACGAAGGAGACACTCATTCTGGCTCAGCTAGCTTCCGTCCAGTGACTCTCATTCCTGTTCTTTCAGAAGTCTTGGAGACTATTGTTTCCAACTTGCTCAAGTCTGACCTGGAGGAATTTGGTTACTTCGCGTAAAAGTAGGCACGCATTCGCTGAAACCGATCGTGCACTACCGGCTTCCTGTTGACACGGGACAATTGGACCAAATCAGTGGGTGTTGATGCAGGAGTGGATGTTGTCAAACACGACATTTTCAATTCAGTTCAATACAAGAAAGTATTATATGCACCTAGAATGGTGAAGCTTCAGCTGTTACACACACACACCTCCAGCGTTGTAAAAAGTATACACAAATAAGTTAATGGGTGTTATAAAGAGCACTATAGTTACAATACAAACTTGTTTGTCACTTCCAGAACATCCGAAGTCTGGTCGCACAAAAGTCCCATCAAATATGGAATTACGGATGAGGGGTAAGCCTATGCACGGGCTCAGATGCATCCCAACTATGGATCCGTGTGTCGCGTATGAATCTTTCTGAACCGAATATTTCCCGTGTCGTTTTAGTTTCTGCGTTGGTCATGAAGTTAACAGACACTTTTTATTATAGCGAGCATAGCTGAGGGGGGTTACTGTGAATAGGTATTCAGTGTAACAGGTGCATACTATGGTACTGTTACACTCAATCGAAATCAGAACAACAGTATTGCAAATGGAAGCTTAGTAGAATCAATGGCAATAGTACATCAGCAGTCCACACTGGGTACAAGATCAACTGTTTAGTTTTACCCGGTTCACATGTTTTAGCTAAGCACTCGCTTTTGAGGCAATCAGTAAGCATCGCTGGTTAGTCGGGAGATGGACAATCACGCACTAGCGCGCACAATGCAGCTCCACAGGCTAGGTAGTGTAGCATGATCTTGACACTCTCAACGTCTGTATCACTCCTGCAATTTTGTCATAACACAAATCTACCATGGCACAACCTCGAATTAGTCAAGCAGTGTTGCCGGCCCCAATGTCACCGGAACCTCTCTGTCTTCGTCTGTACTAATTCCGAACATGTCACCTTAAGTATGTGGCTTCTGTCTCCAGTTCAAGAAGCACCTTAAGGTTGCTCTATCCCACATACATAGCCCGTGTGGACCGAGAGGTGATATAACGTAATAAAAGATAGACCCACCAACGTTTGTTTACGCAATACAGGTAGACTCATTTATGTATGCGTTTGTGTGAATACTATGACGAGTTTAGCCAGACACACTTCCTTTATCTTCTTGCATTATCTTTTCCATTTTGTGCCGCCCAACTTAGCCATCCCATATTGTTGTTAAGTACTTGGATTTTATTTCCGGAGACACTTTAGTCTACTCTTATCCAATTTTTCAGCAAACCGTATCGGCTCCCGTTCGTGTAGTACGCTATGAAGGCAGCCTGTACTACGCCTGTGCAGACCAATTTCGTCAGGTAATCTTTGAAAAATCATGTGTGGATCCGGTGCACGTGTTCAGTAAACTTCAGCACATTCGAAGGAAGTTAAACGCCCTACATAGGCGGATGGATTTAGATGTGTTCACGGTTGAAAATACCATCGGTCCGGGTTCGCAAGCATTTGGGAACCAAGAACTGCACAGTGAGTACCTGTGTTTACCTGCGGAAGTAAACCGATATGGGGCCGTGTCGCATCACTCTTAAAAAATATTTCATTACTCACCGACTTAGTCTTGACATTCATCAGACTATCTTCACACGCCCAGTTGTTTCGTAGATGTTGGATGGTACACCTCCGTGTGCGTTTGTGATTGGCGGTCACGCGCCCTGTTTTTGCATGCTTCATGTACGTCAGCTTCGTCGGGACTCAAGTTCAGAACGCCTGATACAATCTTACACGTTGCTGCATTTACTCTTCCTCTGTATGGACTCAGGACAATTAGCTGGGTATTAAATAGATGCTGCTTGAAGATATTTGAAACCGCAATCTATTGGTGAACCAAATGCAGCCGCACGTAGACCGCAACTGTCGTTTTTTCCCTGCTGTGGTATTATTCGCGATCCACTATGTCAGACTTCGCTTTCTTAACATCTGCAGCTTCAGCAATAGTGAATGTAAAATGTAACATAGTATCGCAAGGTCAGTTAACAGTTGTGCCGAATACTAATTTCTTGCGTTTCATCTTTTCAGAGGAGCATAGGATGTATTATGTAATGCTGTTTGAGACTGTGGTCTGTAACTCCTACTGTTCAAGCATATGGCATTTTAATGAAAGCCACTTCGATAGTGCAGTACAGAAATGTATAATTTCGAATAAATATACTTTACCACTCAGCTGAGCATGGTGTCACGCTATGTAGAACGAGTGCGCAAGTTTTTCTGCCTTCAGGTACCTTCGTCGAAAATGATGAGACTACACCGACTGCGTTCACAACCAGGCCTGCCGTTACTACAAGCATGAAGTTCGACTCCGTTGGAACTTCACAGAACAAACTATCTGATGGGACGGGGAGGAACCGGGAGGCGGAGCTTTTAAGTCAGTTAGCAGCATTGGAGAATGCGTGTGCACTACAATATCTTGTACTGGACTGTACGTCATGGAATTTCATTGATTTTGTCGGAGCCGATGAATTAAAGCAAGTAAGTCCTCGGGGAAGCATATTCTAAGAAGGATGGGGTTGTAGCAGAAACAAAAACCACACTAAGTTTCCAATCTTTGCCATAATTTATTACCTCAGTAGCTGGCCATAATAACCATTGGATGTTTGAGGATTCTCGGTTTAGTATGTCATGCTGTGCACAATAATACCAATATGCTCATCCAGTTTACTTGGCTAACTTTATCGTGCTACTATTGTGCTACTATTTGCACTCCTGGTACTTTGACAGTCATTCTCCCATCTTCCAAACTCACTGGCATACGGTTTTGCTCTGTGACTCCATTAACCTGTAACTCATTGTTCAATGACCTTTTATCTGATAGCACCTAACCTTAGCCGATCACAGGTTGCTTTTTTGATTAAGTAACATTTGCCCAATCTCTTTGGAACACCGGGTGGAGCACAGATTCCTGCGACCCAATCTATCCCATTTTAATTAACCAAATAACTCGATTTTTCTTCAACATATCAAGGGGGCGTCCTTTGTAAGCTATGTCACTGACACGTCCATTTTCTACTATGACTAACATGGGTTCCCCGAGATGGTAATTTTACCTTATTGTTTTGGTAGTTTGTCTGTTATCAGCGCAACTGAGGATGGAAACTGCGAAACAAATCGAACAAGGAAGATTCCCCTTTAGATTCGAACCCCAGTTTTGTAGTATTGCATTCAGAAATGTCACACACACACACACACATTCTTGCATTTATTACGTTGGTATTTCGGACATTGCTTCACAATCATATATTTAGCTATCCAGCCCCGGATTCTCAGTTGCTGTTTGTGAAAGGTAAAGTTCCATGTCCGTAACGTCTAGGCAAGACCAGTGGAACCGCTTAAATCCAAACAGTACCCTGATATAACAAAGCCTAAACAACTACTTTTTACATAACACGGTAAAACAATTGCTTATTAACTATCTGATTTCCGTAGTAAAACGGATGTGGCCATCGCTGAGACATGGTCTATTTCCAGACCATAGACAAGTCATACCAGATTGATCAATCGTTAGAGGCCAGACAAACTCAGCCTCCTGGTCCTCCAGGTTGGGGGTCGGAATGAGGATGGCACCTTATTCCTTAAAACGGACTCCTTGTAGCCCAACATCAATTCCGCTGCCTTGCGGTAAGGTTTTTGAACCAAAGGCTTTGGTTGAGAACCCTAATCGTTCTCCTGCCTATGCCTGGGCAACCTGACAGTATCCTGCCCACGCAATACAATGAATTTCTCTTCAAACAATTTCTTGCTCTCTGGCCACCGCAGAGGATAATCAACGGTGCCCTATCTGCTGCATCTAGCAGGGTGGATCAAGATTTGGATGCTACTGCTCCTGCCTTCCTGTCTTCTTATTCCCCCTTTTACCCTTTTTCTCTGTTATAGCCCCGTTCCAGCTTCACTTTTATCACCCCGGTTTTCAACCCTCCTATTCTTGGCCCTCCCCTACATGCTTTTCTGGGCCTTAATATTCTAGTTTCAACTCACATGTGAACGCGGAGCGTCATTCCTGCCCTGTCGACAAGTCCATGTCCAACCAAACGGTCCACTCCAGTTCATCGACCTGCATTTGGAGCCCTCGATCCTCCTTCAGATTGGCATGCCTCAATGTACGCACATTGCTACAGATCGGTCAACAGGCAGCACTTGCCCGAACTTTAGAGACCCTCTCCATCGATATCTGCTACTTATCTGTGACCCGCCTGCAAGACTCGAGCTCTGTGCTCACTCTGCGATCCCCTTCCGGTGACACCAACAGTATTTTCTCATTGCACCTATCCAGTGACGATACATCTTCGGGCACTGGCCAAGCTGGTGTTGGCATTACTCTGAGTCCCCGGGCTGAAGCTGCTCTGATTGATTTGATCCCAGTCAGTAGCCGGGTGTGTGCGGTCCGATTGGCTGGCTCGTTCAGAGCTTCGAAGTCGCGCGGGACTAATAGGTGTCTATTCATCGCCGCTGCCTACCAGCCTACAAACTGTAGCGACGATACAATGGAAAATGACTTCTACCGCCAACTTAACGTGCTCCTTTGCCACAGAAGAAGCACGGGCACTGTCGTGCTGGCGAGGGATCCGAACGCTGAAGTTGCAAAGTTGTCCACTGATAACGTACATCTGGACGGTCAGCGTGGTGTAGGCTTCATTTGTGTGAAGATGCCCGCTTATTTCTTGCAAGCACTAACTTCCGACACAGCACTCGCCGGAGGGTGACTTGGCGCCAACCAGCCTCGAAGCAGCTATGGATGCAAAGCGATCACATTGCAATCAGTTACCGCTGGAGAGGCCGCATCCAGAAATGTCTCTCGATTTGGAGCACATGTGTGGACACCGACCATGCAGTTGAATGTGCTGACATGCGGATGCGTTTTGCCGGACTCCTACGACGACGCTGTGAGTGCATTGACACCAACCAACTGACAAAGTCAGCTGCACTGAATGCCTATCAAAGTACGCTGACATGCAAGTTGAGTAATCGCTCACTGGAGACAATTGAAGGTCACTAGTCCCATGTTTACCAAACTTTCCTAGCAGCAGGCAAGTCCTCATGTGGTAATCTAATAGCCAATATGGACATTGGGTCTCTTCGCAGTATCTGGAACTTATCGATGCTCGCCGACACATTCCGGCTCGAAACGTACACAATGAAAATCTCAAAGAGCTCCGGGCAAAACTCCGTGCTAGCCTGAAGACAGATCGCGAAGCTTGGTGGTCCCATCGTGCGTCAGATATGGAAGTGGCCGCTGTCTTTGGTAATCATCGTAAGTTATTCCGGCTGATACGGGAAACGGGTAACTGGAGACCTGGTGTTAGTGAAACTATACGTGACGAAAGTGGACGGCCTGTCCACAAATTGTCAAAACGTTTGCAGCGTTGAGCTGAACATATTGAAAAGCGATTTAATCGATCAGAGTTGTTTGATTACTCGCACGCCACTTATCACCCCGCACCGTGAGCTGTCCCTTGGGATCTACCCTCTCGTTCAGAAGTCGAACGTGAGATCGGACTGTTGAAGATAAATAAAGCCGTGGGCCCAGATGTTCCTCATCCAACCCCTTCAAGCTCGGGGGATCTGCTATTGTGGATGATGTATACGAGTTACTAGTAAAACTGTGGGAGCAGGAAAGTGTCCCAAATGACTGGAGCCGCTCCGACATAATCCCAATTTTCAAGGGAGGTTCACGATCATAATGCGGCAACCATAGAGGAATCAGTTTGATCTCCATCACCTCCAAATTGCTTTCCTCAGTAATCTTTCACAGAATTTCTGGCACTCGTGAAAGCCAGATTCGTGAGGAGCAAGTCGGATTTTGTTGGAGTCGTTGCTGCACCGACCACATCTTCACCTTGCGTTAGTCGTTGGAGCACCGCCACACATATGGGCGGCCCGGCGTTGTCTTTTTCCTCGATATCAAATGTACTTTCGAGTTGGTTGATCGATGTGCCCTTTGGGACTGTATTCTCCGGTAAGATGCACCTGCGAAATATGTAAATATTATCCAAGCATTATACGCGCGTAGCATGGGCAGAGTGAGGGCTTACGGCAAGCTGTTACTTCCCTTCAACATCTCCAGCGGTGTGAGACAAGGATGCCCGTTATCACCTTTCCAGTTCAACGCAATTGACGAAGTCATGTAGATTACATTTAAAGGACACGACCTAGAAGGTTTGCTTCTGCTCCCAGGAGAACGACTTCTTGACTTAGAGTATGCTGTTCATATTGCCCTCATCTGTGACAGCTCTCAGACGTGCCAAGCTGCACTGGACAGATTAGCACTATCTGTCAGCGGCTTCGGGCTACGGTTTGCACCCTCAAAGTGCAAAGCCTCCCCTTGGTGGGAATCAGCTGGAGGACGTTCAGGAATTCACCTACCTGTGAAGTTGTATCAGCGCCCATGCGATCGAAGATGAGATTACGAACCTTATAGCAAAAGCTCGAAGTGCTTTTGCTAGTCTTCGCCACCTATGGCGCCGGCGCGACATCACTCTCGCCCAGAAGGGTAGAGTGTACAATGCAGTGGTACGTTCGACCTTACTGTACCTTTGCGAAACCTGGTCCCTTAGAGTAGCAGACATGAAGACGTTAGTTACGTTCGACCACCGGTGCCTCCGCACTTTGGCTCACATCTGGTGGGAACACCGTGTGAGCAACGAGCTTGTTCGACGCCTTGTTTATGGCACTGGAAAAGGAACTGAACCGCTCAGCACGGTCGTTTCACGCACTGGCTCCGATGCCTCGGCCACATGCTGCGCATGCCAGCCAAGCGATTCCCGCGACGTGCGTTGTTTGCTCACCGGGGGCGTGGATGGAAGTAGAGGAGAGGTGGCCAAGCGATGACTTGGTCGAGAGGAATGAAGGCCTTCACTTCGGAGTTGGCCTCGGTTGCAGCTTCACGGCTGTCTGGTTGGGGTCCAAATGACGATGTACACGTTTGGCTGGATACACTTGCTGACATGGCTAGGAGCCGACCTCATTGGCGTTTCTGCTGTGAGCTTCTTTGTCCTCCCATCCCTTTTAGCCTCCCCTTCAACCACCATCTTATTTCATAGCATAATATAATTTTCCTAATATTTTTGTTGCCTAGTAGCCGGCCGGTAGATTTCCGGAACGATGCCCATCCGTTGCTGGTAGCTCAGCTGGTATGCAACTGTTGTATTTATTTTCTTTTTCTTTTATGTATTGCGGCACAGTAGCTGAGGTGTTTTACACCTCTAGCTAACGTGTATTATGATGATGATGATGATGATGACCTCCGGTCGCCGCTCTTGACCCGTGTTCATCTCGTTCCTTCATGCTAGTGTGGCTCCGCCTGCCCACCCTCACTGGCCATTTTCCGTTTCCGTCCGTTTTCTTTTCGTTGTCTTTGTCCTCCGGGTAATCCCTGCCTTCCACCTCGCTACAGTAACACCCGTAAGATCAGTAAAGGCTCTGTGTGCTGTGTCAGGGAAAGAGAACTTACCTTCATTTCCTCTATGGTCAATCAC